GGGAACCTCCCATGGGGACCCCCAAATAGGGGAAACCCCCCATTGGGGCGCCCTAAATTGGGGAACCCCCGCCATTGGGGAATCCCAAAGTGGGGAACGCCCCGGTATGGGGAACCCAAAGTGGGGAACCTCCCTGGCATGGGGAACCCCCCCCATTGGGGAGCCTTAAATTGGGGAACCCCCCCGGTATGGGGAACCTCCCATGGGGACCCCCAAATAGGGGAAACCCCCCATTGGGGCGCCCTAAATTGGGGAACCCCCGCCATTGGGGAATCCCAAAGTGGGGAACGCCCCGGTATGGGGAACCCAAAGTGGGGAACCTCCCTGGCATGGGGAACCCCCCCCATTGGGGAGCCTTAAATTGGGGAACCCCCCCCGGTATGGGGAACCCCAAATTGGGGAACCCAAAATTGGGGAACCCCCCCCCGGTATGGGGAACCCCAAACTGGGGAATCCCCCTGGCATGGGGAACCCCCCCAATTGGGGAATCCCAAAGTGGGGAAGCCCCCTGGCATGGGGAACCCCCCCAATTGGGGAGCCCTAAATTGGGGAACCCCCCCGGTATGGGGAACCCCCCCATGGGGAACCCCGAATTGGGGAACCCTCAGTCATGGGGAACCCCCGGTATGGGGGAACCCCCCCCATTGGGGCACCTCAAACTGGGGAACCCCCTCGGTATGGGGCACCCCCAAATTGGGGTCCCCATGGGGGCACCCTCCATTGGGGAACCCCAAATTGGGGAACCCCCATTGGGGACCCCCAAATTGAGGAACCTCAAACTGAGGAAGCCCCCCGGGTATGGGGACCCCCAAATTGAGGAACCCCCCTTTGAGGACCCCTCCCCATTGGGTCACCCCAAACTGGGGACCCCCTGCCATGGATCACCCCCAAATTGGGGACCCCTCCCCATTGGGTCACCCCAAACTGGGGACCCCCTGCCATGGGTCACTCCCAAATTGGGGACCCCTCCCCATTGGGTCACCCCCAAACTGGGGACCCCTCCCCATGGGTCACCCCCAAATTGGGGACCCCTCCCCATTGGGTCACCCCCACACTGGGGACCCCTCCCCATTGGGTCACCCCAAATTGGGGACCCCTCCCCATTGGGTCACCCCCAAATTGGGGACCCCCTGCCATGGGTCACCCCCAAACTGGGGACCCCTCCCCAAATTGGGGCCCCCCCGAGATGGGAATTTCTGGCCTCGCTTTGGGTTCTGGTTTTGTTCATTTTTGGGGTTCGGTTCCTCGTTGCATTTTTGTTCTCGGGGTTTTTTATTTTTTTTTTTGTTGTGAAATTATTTTTGGTTTTGAAATCGTTATTCAGGTTTTTATTTGCATTATTTAATTTTTTTAATTATTCAATTTTTAAATTATTCTATTTTTTCATAATTTCATTTTTTCATCATCTTTTTCATTATTCAATTTTTCCATTATTCAATTTTTTCATTATTCAATTTTTTCATGATTTAATTTTATTATTTAATTTTTCTATTATTCAATTTTTTCATAATTTAATGTTTGCATTATTTAATGTTTTCATTACTCAATTATTTCATTATTAATTTTTTTAATTATTCAATTTTTCCATTACTCAATTTTTTCATTATTTAATATTTTCATTATTTAATTTTTTAATTATTCAATTTTTCCATTATTCAAATTTTCATCCTTTCATTTTTTCATTCTTCAATTTTTTCATCATTAAATTTTTTAATTATTCAATTCTTTCATAATTTAATGTTTTCATTATTTAATTTTTTAATTATCCCATTTTTCCATTACTCAATTTTTTCATTATTTAATTTTTTAATTATTCGATTTTTCCATTACTCAATTTTTTCATGATTCATTTTTTTCCTTATTCGATTTTTTTTGCATTATTCAATTATTTCGTTATTATTTCCCCCTAATTAATTTTTCTCATTATTAAATTATTTATTAACTTATCAGTTATTTTCATGGTAAAATTTTTTCGTTCTCAAATTTTTTCATTATCGAATTCTTACATTATTTAATTATTTCATTGAACAATTATTGGATTATTTAATTTTTTATTACTTAATTATTTAAATGTTTAATTTTCAATATTTTATTTTTTATTATTTTTTTGTGGTTTTAATTATTTAAATATTTATTTTCCTCTTTGAAATCTTCATTATTTATTTAATTATTTAATTTTTTCCTTTTTTAAAATCATTTCATTTTTATTCCTTTATCAATTTTTATTATTTAACTATTCCGATATTTGTTTTCCATTATTTAATTTCCATTATTCATTATTTCGTCATTTAATTTAATTATTTGTCATTCTTTCGTTATTTAATTATTTAAATATTCGATTGTTTGATTAAATATTTGATTATTTAATTATTGGATTATTGGATTATTTAACTATTTAATTTTAATTAATGTTTTTCATTTGTTCATTACTCAATTAAAGTTTTCATTATTCCATTGTTTGATTTTTTTCATTATTTAATTATTGTCATTAATTAATTACTTCCATTAATTAATTATTTTCCCGGCTTCCTTTCATGCTTTAATTATTTTCATTATCTAATTATTTATGTTGTTATTTCCCTTAATTAATTTCCTTTGTTCCTTCATTCTTTTTATCTTCTTAATTATTTTTTATTACTTAAATATTTTTATTATTTAATTTTCTCACCCTGTTGTTTTCTTCCTTTTATCCTTCTCACTGCTAAAATTGTTATTTTATTATTTTATTTTATTTTATTTTATTTTATTAATTTAATTTGATCTTATTTTATTTTATTTTAATTTATTTATTTAATTTAATTAAATGAATTGAAATAATTAAATAAATTTTTTAAAAATTATTTTGTTATTTAAATTATTTTTAATCATTTAATTATTGCCATTTTTCTCATAATCCTTATCAATTTATTGGTTTTATTAATAATTCGATGTATTATTTAATTTATTTATTATTATCACTTATAATTGGTTTTATTAATTTCTATTATTTTTCATCAGTTTCAGTTATAAAATCATCGTATTATTTTTTATTACTTTATTTTTATGCCATTAATTTTATATCATTTTATTCTCCTGTTTTTTATTTCTTTTCATGACTCAACCGATTTTTCTTAATTTACAAATTATTTAAAACTTCTCTTATTTTTTATCATTATCCGGATTTTTTTATCATTTTTATTTTTCTCTATTTTCATTTGGTTTTCACCAATGAAAATAATAAAAAGTAAACAGAACAACATAGAAATAAAATATATAAAATGATAAAAAGTAAAAAAATAATAGCAATAAAAATAATCGTTATTTTTATATATTTTATATAATATTAATAATTATTATAATATAATATATTATATATAATTTATGTAGTTATACCTATAAATAAATATATATATAATTTATATAATATTATAATATTTAAATATATCGAATAAATAATAATTATTATTATTTTTATTGCCATTATTACCGTTACTTTTTATTATTTCCATTTTTTATTCTCGTTCTTTTTACCTTTGATTATTTTTATTTATCATTTATTACCGCTATTATTTAATTACTTTTCATTTCCCCTTTTAACTTTTCTCCTTTCTGAACTTTTTCCTCCTTTTCATTTCCTCCATTTCCATTTCTTTTTTAACGTTTTTTTCACCTTTTAATTAGTTTTTTCCCACTTTTTTTGCATCCACACCCCCTCATTTTCCTTTTTCACCCTTTAATTTTCCCCATTCCCTTTTCCACCTCTTTTTACTCTTCCCAACCTTCACCCCCAATCCCATTTTCACCTTTTATCATTTCCGTTATCCCAATTTTTTTCACCTTTTAATTCGTTTTTTCCCACTTTTTTTGCATCCACACCCCCTCATTTTCCTTTTTCACCCTTTAATTTTCCCCATCCCCTTTTCCACCTCTTTTTATTCTTCCCAACCCTCACGCCCAATCCCATCTTCACCTTTTATCATTTCCGTTATCCCAATTTTTTAAATCACCTTTACCGTTTTTTCACCTTTTAATTCGTTTTTTCCCACTTTTTTTGCATCCACACACCCTCATTTTCCTTTTTCACCCTTTAATTTTCCCCATCACCTTTTCCACCTCTTTTTACTCTTCCCAACCCTCACCCCCAATCCCATTTTCACCTTTTATCATTTCCGTTATCCCGATTTTTTTAATCACTTTATTTTTTTTTTTCGCCAAATTTCCTTTATATTTTTTTCATTTCAAATCTTTTCGCGCTCGTTCTTTTTTCCACTCTTTTAGAATCTCTTCTTATTCGCTTTCCCCCCTTCCCCTGCTCGGTTTAACCCCCCCCCGGTGTGTCCCCCCTCCTTTCTCGCCCCCAGGGGCCGCCTGACCCTCGCCGACATGTACGAAATGCTGCGGCACATGTCGCCGCCGCTGGGGCTGGGCACCAGCTGCCCCCCCCGCGTGGCCTATAAGGTAGAATAACCCCCCCGGGGGGGCGTGCGACCCCCGACCCCGGCCTCCCCCGGCCTTATTTTGGGGGGGTTTTAGGGGATTTTGGGTTTTGGTTTTTTTTTTTTTTTTTGGTTTTTTTGGTTTTTTTCCCTCCTGCGGCCGCCGGCCCCTGCTGAGCCCCCCCAGGATGGGCTGGGTAAGATGCGCCCCTCCCCCCCACACCCCGAAAGAAAACGG